ATTTTAGAATTACTGGGATGGGTACTATCAGGGGTAAGATAATTTCTGCGTCTGTTCCACACCCTATAACTTGCATTTGGGTTAAAGAAAGGCTAAAATGTAATCCAGTTCTAGAGCTTTGTTCGAGGGACATAACAGTAATTAAGACTGCATGTGTCAAATCAAACATAAAACTGCTGTTGGCCTCTGTTTACATGCCACAGGGCGACGAGGGAAAGAAAGAAAAAAAGAGTTTTATTTCTCCATAAATATACAAATATATGTACATAGAGAATATACATTGATGATGAGTAAGTACAATGTCATCTCAAAGCTTTAACTAACTTAGCACTACTATTAAAAAAGTCATTCAAAGTATAAAATGCATTGCCATACAAATATTGCCTGACCTTCTTCAAAAAACAATTGTTAAAGTCTGTGTCTTTTTCTAATAAGAATTTATTAATTACCCTACGAGTCAGGGGATCAGGGGATTTTTCAAATGTTGCTGTTGAGTCCGAGGGATATATTATGAAATTACGTCTTGTGTTATACGCATTTGTGTGATTTTCTAAAAGGATTCTATTTTTCATGAAGTATTTACATAATTCATAAATATAAATGACAAGGTAAAGTTAATAATTTATTTGTTGATAGTGCTCATCAACAGGAATATGATGCAAAATTCCAATGGCCCTTTTCTGAATTCGGAATATTCTATTAAAATTTTCACACGAAGTACTACCCCAAATTACCAACCCATAAGTTAATCTAGATTGAATAGTTACAAAGTGATGCAAAGATGGGACCATTCCCATCGGCTGAGGTCAGACGACTGATCGACATCGCACAGGAGTCCGGAGCTTAACTTGTGATAGGCTGCGACTCCAACGCTCATAACACAGCTTGGGGATGCAGGGACACCAACAATCGAGGTAGGTCACTTCTAGAGAACCTAGTTTCTTGTGGTCTTCTTATAGCTAATGTAGGCTCAGAACCGACTTTTCTTAGTAGGATAGGTCAATCTGTTATTGAGCTCACCCTGTGTTTAGTGGGTATGGCTAACAGGATTACTGACAGGTCAGTGTCCCTTGAGCCGCTTGAGCCATCCCTGTCTGACCGTAGGCATATTGTTTTCGGGTTGGGGAATTTTTGCAATTAAGTTCGCTTAAACAGGAGCGTAGGTAAGACTGACTACGTTGTTTTCCTTCAGATCCGATCTTCATAGAAAGATTGTTTCAAACCTAAACATATCACCACTCATTAACACAGCTGATGCGCTTGATAAGGCGGCAGACCGTCTAATCAGGTGCATAGTAACATCCTAACGGTTTGTTTCACTCACAGCTGCTTTATGGTTTGCGTCTCTGGGGTGGTTCACACTTAGCTCAGAAAGCATTTGTTTGGCAAAAGAAAGCTCTTAGAGCCATGCTAGGATTGCAAGATCATGAATCCTGTAGGGATCACTTTTCCAATTTAAATTTACTTACACTGCCATCTATGTACATTCTTTGTAATTTAATTCATATAAAAAACAACCCCTTAAAATTTTCTAGCTATTCTCATCCATACAACACGAGGCACAAAAACAACCTAGTCACACCTCAAATCAGACTTTCAAAAACTTTAAATAGCCATTTTTACAATCAACATATTTTCTTCAACAAGCTACCCACTTGTTTTCGTGAACTACCTTTAAACCAATTTAAAAGAAAAATTACTGAGTTTTTTAAATCAAGAGCATTCTACACGCAGGAAAAATTTTTAAATAGTGACATGTCATGTTTAGTTTAGATTCTAAATAGGATATTTAAATTTATAATTGATGTATGATCTATTTTTAAGTACTATTGTAACAATGCCTATTACAAAATGTTATGTTTAATGGCTGCAATAAATCTTATTGAATCTTATTGAATCTTTAAGGATTGACCCTTGCATAAGGGCAAGAGCAATAGAGCTAGTTGGTGGGGTCCCGAACTTGCTTCTTTTAGGAGGAGACACTTCAGGCGAGCTAAGAAAACCAATAATAGCTCGCATAATACTCTGTTCTCACAGAATATAACCATGCAGTACGTAAGGCCAAAAGACTCTCATGGAATAACTCTTGCAGTAATTTAGGAAGCATTAAAGACACTTCCAGAATACACAAGGTTCTTACTAGAGATATACATGTCACTCTTGGTGCAGTTGAGGGACCGAGTGGTGCTATGGCTTTTGATCCTACTGAAATACTTAAGGTTATGGCTAAAGATTATTTCACTGGTTGTATTGTTTCTGAAGTGCAGCAGGAGGATGTGAATTCTGAGTGCCCAAATCTGGGCCATCATGCCACCCATTCTATGTGGAGCACTGCCTGCCGCATAGTCACCTTCAGTAAGGTAAGATGAGCTGTCAGCTTATTACAACCCCTCAAATCACCGGGTCCTGATAAGGTAAGGCCTGTTTGTTTACACCAGGAAGGTCTAGATATTATTATTCACTTACTCTGCTAACTTTTCAGAGCAAGCTTAGCCTTAGGACATATTCCTTCAGGATGGAGTTATTCTCGTATTGCATTCATTCCTAAACCAGGGAGGGATAGTTACACTGATCCTAAGTCATTCAGACCCATTTCTTTATCTTCTTTCCTCCAATTGGTATTAAGATATATGGGGGATACAGCTCTTAGGATTAATCCCTAATAAAAGGATAAATACATAAACAGGGTGTCTACCAGATATCTCAAATGGAATTCCCGACTTTTTCCCGACTTTTCATTACCATTTTTATATAAATCCCGACCAAACACTCGGTCCATTCTCCATGTTACTACACCTTTTTCCGTCTCGCGGTCACGGTACCTTCGTCAACATATGTTGTCACTTACGACCCAGCGAAATCACTGAAGATCGAAACGTATCACATGCCAAGAAAATCCCGTATTAAATGTAGGGGTGTGTGAAGCAGCAAATCATTTCAACTCAAAGCAACGATTCGATTTAAAAAAATGTTGATGTAACTCGGTTCGAAGCAACATGGATTTTTCTATTCATACTTCTCAGTGGAGTGAAATATCTGTTTTCAATCATACATTAGAAGAACCAGTATTTCTAGAAATATCAGTGAGCTTCTTGCCTATTTCATAATTTTTACTTGCAGCATCATGTTGTTAAGTATGTTACCTATTTTATTTTATTCATTTTATAAATAAAGATATGTTTGGGTGTAAACAAATAAAAACCTTTGTAAGATTTAAATACTGAATCTTTCAATTGGTTTACATTGATAAAATAAGAGGATAGAATCAGAACTACAAGGTATACATAACTTCTTGTATGGCGAAGCAATGTCTCAGTGTATGCCATGTACTTGGATGGCAATAACCTGTATGGCTAAGCAATGTCTCAGTGTATGCCATGTACTTGGATGGCAATAACCTGTATGGCTAAGCAATGTCTCAGTGTATGCCATGTACTTGGATGGCAATAACCTGTATGGTCAAGCAATGTCTCAGTGTATGCCATGTACTTGGATGGCAATAACCTGTATGGTCAAGCAATGTCTCAGTGTATGCCATGTACTTGGATGGCAATAACCTGTATGGCTAAGCAATGTCTCAGTGTATGCCATGTACTTGGATGGCAATAACCTGTATGGCTAAGCAATGTCTAAGTGTATATCATGTACTTGGATGGCAATAACCTGTATGGCTAAGCAATGTCTCAGTGTATGCCATGTACTTGGATGGCAATAACCTGTATGGCTAAGCAATGTCTCAGTGTATGCCATATACTTGGATGGCAATAACCTGTATGGCTAAGCAATATCTCAGTGTATGCCATGTACTTGGATGGCAATAACCTGTATGGTCAAGCAATGTCTCAGTGTATGCCATGTACTTGGATGGCAATAACCTGTATGGTCAAGCAATGTCTCAGTGTATGCCATGTACTTGGATGGCAATAACCTGTATGGCTAAGCAATGTCTCAGTACTCAGTGTATGCCATGTACTTGGATGGCAATAACCTGTATGGCTAAGCAATGTCTCAGTGTATGCCATGTACTTGGATGGCAATAACCTGTATGGTCAAGCAATGTCTCAGTGTATGCCATGTACTTGGATGGCAATAACCTGTATGGTCAAGCAATGTCTCAGTGTATGCCATGTACTTGGATGGCAATAACCTGTATGGCTAAGCAATGTCTCAGTACTCAGTGTATGCCATGTACTTGGATGGCAATAACCTGTATGGCTAAGCAATGTCTCAGTACTCAGTGTATGCCATGTACTTGGATGGTAATAACCTGTATGGCTAAGCAATGTCTCAGTACTCAGTGTATGCCATGTACTTGGATGGCAATAACCTGTATGGTCAAGCAATGTCTCAGTGTATGCCATGTACTTGGATGGCAATAACCTGTATGGCTAAGCAATGTCTCAGTGTGTGCCATGTACTTGGATGGTAATAACTTGTATGGCTAAGCAATGTCTCATCTCAATGAATAGCTTATATAATTAATGTCAATCATTTGAATAATGTCAATAAGTTATATGGATACTGATAGTCAAAGTAACAGTATCAATGTAACAGTCAACTACGTATATGGATACTGATTCAATGACGTATAGACACTGATTCAAAAAGTTATTTGGATAATGATTCAATACCGTATATAGATACTGATTCCATAACGTATGGATGCTGATTCAAAAACGTATATTATGGACCCTGAATGCCCATGATTCAAATCGTTATTTTGATCATCACTGAATCGAATTGGAATTCCGATGCATTTTCGTTTCATCCCCCACCCCTCAAATGTAATCCCGTCCCAATGATCAGAAATATAAGATCCAGAACATTTTTTTAAAGTTTTGGGACCCGTTCATCCCTAATTTTGAAAGGTTAGATTATTCCCGACTTTCGGCCGAAATTCATGACTTTTTCACGACTTTACCCGACCTTTCAAAATCCCCGACTTTTTCCCGAATTTCCCGGAATTCCCGACTGGTAGACACCCTGATAAACAAACTTACACATTGTGTGTTGTCAATCACGTAGATTCCTTGGGGGTTAATGCCAACTAAAACTGGAATATCTTGATGGGTGATCAAAGATGTGAGACCTCTTACAGGCTGTTCTACTTGACCTTGGAAAAATGCACAACTGTAACATACACAACAAATGGGGAATTAGGAATTAGAGCTGAGAGATCATTATATGAGAATTTTCCATATAGGGAATAAGCTGTTATTGTAGGTCTCTTGGTAAGCCTGGCCCCACGACCAATCAACTTTTTTATTTTGAGGTCCCCAGAGACAAAAAAAAATACCCCCGCCGCAGCAAACCTGCAGACTAAGCGAATTTCCATTTGCCTGATTGGATTTACACTAAAACGTCTCCTTAAAAATATCACATTCCTTATTTAAATAGAATCAGTTTAACACATACTTAGGTTTGCTGCAACAGGGAGGGTAAAAGTGTTTTTTATGTAAAATGTTAATAGTTAGTAAGAAATAAACACATTTTCCAAATTTGGGCAAAATATGTTAATAAACAAGTAAACTACAACAGTTTACTTATTCTCCATAAGAATAACATGGGAATTTTAAATTTACAATTTTTTGGAATTTTCTCCGTAACCATTAGGTGCATTATAACGCTTCAATATACTAAATTATTTGTTTTTTTAAGCTCTACAAAATAGTTTGGAAAGAAATTGCAAAATTTTATGTATTTTGAGTCAAAAATGGGAAAACCCCATTTTTACCCTATAAAACCCCCGTTCCCATGGTCCGATCATGCTGGTTCGCGAACTCGTTCGAATAAACGTAGGTTTACACGTTTTTACCGAGTTTCATCAAAATCGGATCGTTTTTGCTCGAGTTATCGCGCTAACGGACACCTATATAAATATATATATATGAATTTGAACGGATGGTGTTTTTGGCCTCTAGGGACCTCAAAACGAAAAAAAAAAAATCGGTCCCGGGTCCAGGTCTTACCATGAGTACTACGGTAATAGCTTATTCACTATATGGGAAATTCGCTAAAACAAAAAAAAAACAACCGTTCAAATTTATATACACTTGAGTCTTGCTTATCAGAACTCATTGGGACCGAAAACTGTTTCGATTAGCCAAAATAATAACAGTAGAACCTTGATTATCTAGGGTAGTTGGGGGGAGAGAGACCACACAGATAATAAAAACAACAGTTGAATCAAGATGGAATATAACAAACACATAAAATACTCCTGCCACAGCAAACCTGCAGACTAAGCGAATTTCAACTTGTCTGATTACATTATTACTAAAATATTTCCATGAATAAGAATGTTTATTCTCAATTTAAATAACATTAGATTAAACGAGTGCTTAGGTTTGCTGCTACGGGGTAGGTAAAAATTGTTTTTTGACCATACTTCAATAGTATAGGATGAAATAAATAAATTTGCCAAATTTTATCAACATTATCCATAAACAAGTAAACTACAACAGTTTTCATTTTCTCCATAAGAATAACATGGGAATTTTAAATTGTGTTTTAAGCCTCTAAGGACATCAAAATAAAAAGTAAATTTGTCCCGGGTCTAGGTCTTACCGTGCCACCTACAGTAATAGCTACTTTAGAGAAATTCGCTAAAATATTTATTCTTTTTCTTTGTCCTTCTGTTCTTTTTTTGGTTTCTCTTCTTCCACAACAAATTCTCTATGCTGTAAAATTTTATTTTCTAAGGAGACAGCAATATAACTACTTTTAAGAATAACATTGAAAGTTGAAATATACAACTATAGAATTTTAGAGGTACCGGTAAATCATTAATTTACAAATACGCCAGGGTAACGGATAGGTAAAATACATCAATAGACAATGTCTACATACAATTAATAAACAAACATAGTATAGATCGTATTGCAGAAATTCTGGGAACACACATAACGTATCACTACATGACAGTTGTGCGATTGTTGTCAGCAAGAGGGTGGGGAGTGGATTAGGCGATCAGTAGACTGTTTCCCTCACTCTCGAACGTTGCCACTGATACCGTGTCGTGTAAATTACAAAGAACTGCTGGAGCTACAATACACCGTTAACTGGTCAACAGTTGAAACTTAAAATTACGTGTCTATTGCTTATGATTTATTTGAAATGGAGCTTAAAACCTGTATTTCAGCCTGCACTGCAGAAATGAAAGAGTTTAAATGAGCCAACAAGTTAAAACCTTGGATAATAGGCTATATTTGAATGTTGATAAAATATGAAAGAAACCATTTATAAAAAAAAGTTAAGTTAGGGCCTATCACAGATAAATTCAAACATTATATTTCTTTGAGATTAAAAACTTGGTGATACTAATATTACACAAATAAGTTTAGTTTTAATTTGATCTATTAGCAAGTAGTAAATATTGACTGTTCCTATTTATGTAACATATACTTGACTAGCCTATATGTTTGATTTCTAAGATGAAACAGTAGTATATACTCACCCGTAGTAAGGCAAGGCCCAGCAAAACTCTAGGTACTTGCGTTGCAATTTGCGGTCAGGGGTGGAGGGGGGTATGCGCTTGTAGTGTTCCAAAAGCTTGATCTCTGGACAGTTTTTGCCCCCCAATCCCAGCCAGGACCGCCATGCCCCTCGTCTCATTTGTGGCGGCAGAAATCTGCTGTACTGTTCTCTGCAGCAAACAAGAATGCACTTAAATAGGCTTGGTATAAATAGGCCTACCTGCACCAAGACAAAGCTCCTGACTAAGCGAATTAACTGTTGGCTGATTAAATTTATCCCAAAATATATGCTATGGGTAAAGATAACTACTGTACAATAAGTAATCTGAAAAAAGTTTAAACATGCATAATTATTTGAAAATTTTCTTTTTGCGAGTTTCCCTTTAGGGAAGTAGCTATTGCCCTAGGTCTCATGGTAAGAAGACCTAGGCCCAGGACCGCTGAGTTGATAACTTTGTTACTATCTTAAATTTAAACCAGCAGGGAACCAGTACCAACTGGTGAGCCAAATCAGAAACTGTTGTTTTGATGTGGGTTTACTTTGTGAAGGGCTATAAGGGTATATCAGCCTTCAAAAATTTGGTTGTGGTGAGCAGCATGATTATAGATTGGTTTCCGTTTGTCTTCATGTACCACATCAAAACGATGGCCTGCCATTCAAACTCTTAATGAGTTTGAAGTCTGGCCAATGTATTCTTTTGGACAATGTTTACACAATAGTTGATAAATCAAATTGTGAGTTTCACAAGTTGATCTACCAACAATCGGATAAACCTTGTTTGTAACTTTGCTATCAAATTCAGTTGTACTACTCATAATTTTACAAATACCACATCAAGGCTTGTGACATGGTTCAAACATTAGAATTGTTTGAAGGCCGAGAATTTTGAAATTTTGGTCTCATCAACATATTTTTTTAAATTTTGTGGCCTTTTAAAAATAACAAATAATAAATTTTCAGCACTGGGGGAAGATTTCAAAATATTGAATGCTACTTTCATTACACTGTTAATTTTTTTAGCCCAGGATAATATTGAGTAATAAATTTAGGATCACTTGATAAACTATTATCTTGGTTGTTTTTTTTTATCTGATTGGATATTAGTTTTTGAGGATAGCCTCTGCTGTGTTCAACCAACTGTTTCCTAATTTCTTTTATTTATCATATGCCTTTGTTTACATTAATTTGTTTTTGTTTTGTTTCACTGAAAAAAAGCTAACTCACAATAATTTGCTACAGAATAAAAATTTGTATTAAAACATAAATCAACTTTCTTTTCATAGTACATAGCAGATGGCGACGAGGAACTTTATTTTTGAACCCTTTGATGATGATGAAGAAACATGGAACAGCTACCTAGAAAGACTAGAAATAGCTTTTGTATTCAACAATATTTCTGAGGAAAACAAGACAATAACACTACTACATGTTATTGGAAAGAAAACTTATGGAACACTTAGAGATTTGTTACAACCTAAATTGCCTACAGAGTTTTAGTATAAAGAATTAATTAAACAACTCACCAAACACTTTTCACCACCACCAAACGAAGTAGCAGAAGCTTTCAAATTCCATAATAGACGTCAACAGGAAGGTGAAGACATACAGCACTTTGCAACGGAATTGAAAGGATTGTCAAGATACTGCAACTTTGGCAACTTTCTCAACACAGCATTACGAAATCAGTTCATACAAGGATTGAGAAATGAAGCGATTCAAGCCAAATTGATCAGCGAATCGGTCTCAACGATGGACAAAGCACTGGAGCTGGCAACTACACTCGAGAAAGCCTACCAGGATGCAGCAACACTACACTGTGGTGATAACATATCAATTGGAGTTGACAAAGTAAGTAACAACATCCATCCTAATAAAGTTTGCTACAGATGTGGAAAATCACATACAACACCTTGTCCACATATTAACACCTTTTGTAATTATTGCAAAAAAATTGGTCATATTGCTAAAGTCTGTTTGTCAAATTCAAATGCAGTGATAAAATTACCAACTAAAAAGTTTGGAACTATTTCTACAGCTAAAAATGTTAAAGCTGTACACAAAGAGTTAAATCTAACATCCGACACAGTATATGTCCATGATCCCACACACAATGTTGTTGATATTTTGTATAATTCCAAAGGTTCAAATGATAAGATCTTGCTAAAAGTTAATCTTAATGACCGACCAACTACAATGGAATTAGACACTGGGTCTGGAGCGTCAATCATGTCTATATAACTTTAAAAGAATGTTTCCAAGCCACAGACCGTTGCAACCAAGCAATGTTATTTTCAGAGATTACAATAAACACTGTTTTTCTCCAATAGGTAAAACTATGGTAAAAGTTAACTATCATGGACAGACCAAAGTTTTACCTCTATACATTGTGGAAGGAGACTGTGATACTCTATTTGGTAGGGATTGGTTGAAACAAATAAAAATTGACTGGCAAGAAATCAACCAGCTGAGTTCCAAAAATAACTTGGGCTTGGAAAATCTTTTAAAACAATATGAAAATGACCTATTTGTTAAAAACATAGGCAAACTTCAGGGATTGGAAGTACAACTTTATTTAAAACCCGATGCTAAACCAGTTTTTAAGAAAGCTCGATCAGTTCCTTTTGCACTCATTCCTAGAGTGAATGAGGAACTTGATAGACTCGAAAGAGAAGGTATTATTTCTAAAGTAGATTACAGCAGCTGGGCAACACCAGTAGTTCCAATAGTAAAGGCCAATGGTAACATACGACTGTGCGGTGATTTCAAAGTCACACTCAACCCATCTCTTCTTGTCCCTGAGTACCCAGTTCCAGCAATTGAACAAATCTTATCTAAAATTGGTAACAGTATCACCTACAGTAAAATTGACGTATCGGAGGCTTTTCTTCATATGCCCATAAGAGAGTCGGATCGTTATTTGTTAACAATAAATACACACAGAGGTTTGTACCAATATAATAGATTACCATTCGGAATATCTGCAGCTCCTGCTATTTGGTAAAAAGCAATGGAGAAAGTTGTTGAAGGGATAGAAGGGGTACAAGTCTTTTATGATGATATAGTTGTTTCAGGCACCACTAACGAACAACATCTTAGCCGTTTAAAACAGGTATTTGAGAGGTTCAAGCAGTACAATCTTAGAATTATTAGACAAAAATCAAGCTTTATGGTAAATGAGATTGAGTATTTGGAGTATAAAATTAGCAACAAAGGGATATACAAAACTCAAAAACTAACTGAAGCTATTGACCATTTGCCTCGCCCTTCAAACATACATGAAGTCAGACACGTCCTTGGTCTGATTAATTACTACAGAAGGTTCATTCCAAACATAAGTGAGAAATTATATCCTCTTATAAATCTCAACAAGTCATCTACGAAATTCTTTTGGTCTGAGGACTGTGAAAGAACATTCCAAAACATTAAAGAGGAAACGAAATCAGACATATTTCTTACTCATTTTGATCCTAACTTACCACTCATCTTAGCTACAGATGCAAGCCAGCATGGCATCTCAGCCGTTCTTTCACATGTTTATCCGGATGGGTCTGAAAGACCTATTGCAATGGCATCACGAACATTAAACTCCTCGGAAATGAAGTACAGTGTCATAATGAAAGAAGCATTAGCCATCTACTTTGCTGTAAAACGTTTTTATTACTTCCTGCATGGCCATCACTTTACTCTTTTCACCGACCACAAACCATTGACATATATATTTGGTGATAAAAAAGGTATACCAATTCTAGCAGCTACTAGATTACAAAATTATGCTGTTTTCCTCCAAGCCTTTAATTTCGACATCAAATACAAATCTACTGATGAAAATGCCAACGCAGATGCCTTATCCCGTTTACCTTCAAATATTTGCCAAGATGTTAACCAAATAGACAACGTTGATGTTTTTGAAATACAACAACTCCAAGCCCTTCCCGTTTCAAGCAAACTAATAGCAGAAGAAACTCAAAAAGATCAGGAACTGTCAGACATCTATGAAGCTCTTAATGAAGGAAAGCTCATAAACCATTCAAGTGAGTTCAGAGACACTGAATCAGAATGGAGCTATCAATTGGGGTGCTTATTTAAAGGACATAGAGTTGTAATAGGCCTACCAAAATCATTAAGAAACAAAATTCTTCAAGAACTTCATGAAGCACATATAGGTATGGTTCAGATGAAAGCTTTAGCTCCCTCCTATGTCTGGTGGAAAAATATTGACCATGATATTGAAACATTGGTTCGAAATTGCAAAAATTGTCAAGAGCATCGTAATGATCCAACCAAAGTACCTGTACATCCATGGTCTGCTCCTGAAAAACCTATGGAGAGAATTCACGTTGACTTCGCTGGACCATTTATGAACAGCTACTTTTTAATTATTGTGGATGCGTACAGTAAATGGCCAGAAGTTATTCCAATGAATTCTACAACTACAAACAAAACCATAGACTGCCTGCGAACATTCTTCAGCAATTTTGGCATTCCACATATCTTGGTTTCAGACAACGGTCCACAATATACTTCTCAAGAATTTAAAAACTTCTTAGAACTGAATGGCATATGCCATAAACGTTCTGCTCCATATCATCCAGCTACCAATGGGCAGGTCGAAAGATATGTTCAGACCTTAAAACAATCCCTTAGGTCTATGAAAGATGAACCTGGTACCCTTAACCAAAAGGTTGCCAGATTTCTCATGGCATATAGGAGAACACCTCATGCAACTACAGGGTTAACACCTGCTCATCTTTTCATCGGCAGACTGTTGAGGTCAAGGCTTGATTTGACACTTCTTAACTCATCAAATACTTGCACAAATGACCAGACTATCCAACAATCTTATGGGAGGAACTTTAAAGGAGACTCTGTTTTTTTTTAGAATCTACGGAACGCCACAAAAGTGGAGATTTGGAAGGATTCTACAAAAACTGGGCACATGCCACTATAATATTGAATCTGGAAATTCCACCTACAGGAGACACATTGATCAAATAAGATCGGTTGGTACATCAGTTTTTGCTGACAATGGTCTGCCAGTATGAGTGTCATCACTTGTGTCTTCGCAGCCATCTTTAAATCGCCTAAACCACTCAAACACTTGTGTTCGTGATAAACAATCATCGCCGTACACTTGTTGTAACATTACAAACGTTTCACTTGCAGATTTTC